CACACACACACACACACAAATAAAAAAAAAATTAAATAAAATAAAATAAAATTTAGTTAACATTAGATTAAAACACATTTGAGAGCTCAATCCCTTAAAGGCTCTGGTTTACAGAGCACTGGTTACAGACTGTCCCGCGGCTCACGTACAAGTCAGAAGTAAGGTATCTACAGGAGACTCTGGCAGAGCGGCAACAGCACAATAGTGAATGTGTCCTCGATCCCAGCCCATCACTTAGCTTGGGCAATTTAGTTAACTTCTCTTTGACTCAGTTTCATCTATAAAATGGGTTATTACTAGTTTACAGCACTGTGGCAAAAAGATTATCTATCTATCTATAAATCAGTCACACTATGTTCTTCTAAGCTTCGAGAGTTTAAAAGACTTTTGCATGAATGTATCACTTCAGAAGTAGAGACTAAACCATATTTTAAAAGTACAGATTAATAGAGTGTGACACCCAGATGATCCACTCGAACATACCCAGAAGTATGCTTCGGTAATCCCCCAGGGAGCTCCCAAGCAGTCCGGATGGTAACATCAATTGCCACACTGTCAGTGACGTCTTCTTGCCCTCCAGTTAGCCTTTGGTGATAAAAATAGCAAGACTCCTTTCCTTATCCAACTGCCTTTGCCTCCCTTTCTGCTCCTCTGTCTCTGGGTCTTTTGCACACTCTGCCACTTTCTACTCTTTTCCTTCTTTCAGGAAGGGATCTACTCAGGAACCTACTTCCCCAGTAACATATTCTTGTACTCTGTATTAGGATCATCTTCTTTATATACCAATAAAAATAATAACTATTTTAGAACAAGGCCCATGAGCGGTGTTCACAGTCACTGGTGCTGTTTCCCTGCTCTGCTCCCCAGCACCGTAAACTAAGCAGTTTGCTGCGCCATCCCCTTCGGCCAGTATGCTCCTGCTCGGAGCCCGCTGATCACTGACAGTCTCTGAAACTGTGTGCTAAATGAGCCTTCCCTCCTTTAAGCTGTGGGTGTTGGGCATTTGGCCCCAGTGACAACAAGGCTAGTGAACTAACAGAAACAGTGAAAATTATTTTACTATAGGAAGGGACAGTCCTCAGCAAAAAAGGTAGGGAGCCAGGGAGATAGCTCAGTGGAATAAGCACTTCACTGGCAAGTGCAAGGGCCTGAGTTCAATCCCCAGTTCCGAAAAAAAAAAAAAAAAGAAAGGTGATCATACTACTCAACCAGTCTTGGCATGCTAATGTTTTCCTATGTAGATTCACAATTACTTGCTTTTTTTTTTTTTTTAAGGGAACGCTATTACTTAGCTTTGCTAATAAAAAGGAGTGGTCTATCTGTCACTGCTAACGACTGGGCCAAAAGGAGGGGAGAACTTTTTCTGCCACCCTAAAACATGACCTTTTCAATCATTCAAAGCTGTGAGCCTCTTTGCCCAAAATAATGCTCAGTACTAATCTACAGAAATTTGGTGTTTAAAGTGCACACTTAGCATAGCCTCCCTTTTAAGTTTTGCTCATAAAAGCTTCTATTATCGCTGCTGCTAAAATCCCAACTCCAGCACCGTGGCAAAGCTGATCTGGGCTGCAAGCAGGAGCGTGAAGACATCTGCACATCGCAGCAAACCATCAGCATTAGTCCCGCTTGGGTGGAGTCTGCTGTACTTGGCGCAGTGCCTGAAGGTCGCTGCCCTGTGCTAAGGAAAGGAAGAGTCTCCCCCTCTTCCAACTCAGAGATCAGTTTGTTTCGGGGTTCCTAATCAAATCAAGGTCCCTATTCTGAAAGTGTGGAAAATATTTAGAGCTAATAGTAAGGGTAATGTAAGGTTAAAATGCCCTTTCTCCAATACGGAAGCCAAGTTTGGAATTTCCCTCTCAGCGTTACAATCCTAACAAGTGCGTGCCCAGAAGTCAGATTATTAGATTATATGTCTTGTAAAAACCAACACATGAATATTGTGAAAGAACACAGAAAGAGTTGAAGTAAAAATGAGTACTGGTTTAGGTACAATTCCAGAGTGCTTCAGTTAAATTATAAAAATCGTAAGAAATGCGAGGAAACATCTGTATGTTTTGTGATGTCTTACACTACACTAGGGCAAGTTTCTGTGACTAGTTTTTACAGAACTCTGACACATCAGCACAGGGCTGGGGAGATAGCGCGGCGGTGTACGCGCCTATCTGGCAAGTGCAAGGCCTGGTACCACATGCCAGGCCGGCTCCGTGCCGTGCTGCTCGCCGGAACCTGGCGTGGTGGCGCACACCTGTAACCTCAGCACTGGGGAGGCTGAGCCGGGAGGATCACTACGAGTCTGAGCTGCGTAGTGAGTCTGTGTACCAAATAAATACACTAATAAAAGATTTTAAAAAATAAAACATCAGTACAACATATTCTCTTTCCAACATACAGCCAACTGACATACTTGTATGAATGCCATGTATAATTGGATCCTCACTGCCCATAACTTTCAAACTGCTTCAATAGCAAATGCTTGCTCTCCGGGAAAAAAAAAAAATGCGTCTTCAAACTCAATTTGCATTTCTCCCTCTACACTTTCAGGGTATTTTTAACACAGAGATACCCAAAGGTTGTCAATTACTGGAAGAAAGGACACCACCTGGCCAGGCGCACTGCAGCAGCGCCACTGACTTGCCTCCGGGAGCTGCACACAGGTCCAGAGCCCTCTCGCCATCCTGCAGGTCCGCAGCCAGCACTGGGAGGAGCGAGGCAGCGTTCAGGAGGTAGTACTGCTTCAGGTTTCCAGCTCGGTGCCTTTCTGAAGGCAGCCGGTGTGGCGTTCCGCTGAGGTAACATTTCATGGACTGAGGAGAACAGGGTAAAGACCCTTGAAAAAGTCTGTGATAGCCCTTCAAATGTAAATCCCTTTCCAGTTCAGAAGGACAATTGAATCTGTTGAGGAGGACAGCATGCTGCCACAGTGATGGAGATGTCAATATATCCCTAGAAAGAGGAAAAAGATGAATATTAATATTAAATGCATCGATTGCATTTTATATTAAGGGGGTCGGCATGGTCCTGGGCTCCCACTTCACCTGCTCCTGATTTCCAGAGACAGCACCAGTCCTTCCGACATCTCCTTTTGCTTCCGAAGGCCCTCACGGGCTCCACCCTGCTCTGCTGGAAGCCTGTCTGTATTTAAAAAACTGATATTCTTCATTGTGGCTTAAATGAATTCTACACTCTGAATCTGAATGGCATGTTTCACTTGCCTCCACCTTAATCTTCCCTATAGATTCTCATCATGTCAAAAAATAATTGCTGCGATTACAGAACAGTACATCCATCAAAATAGATGTTTGTCTAGCCTCATTTGCACAAGAAACTATTTTGGTTAGACACAAGAATACTAATATTGGTAGGAAAACTACTATTATCAAAACGTGTTTGAAGGGATGAGTGTCAAAGACTTCCTCTGGTGTGGATAAAAGGCATGAAAAGCTAACTCCAGTGAACTCCATAGTAATGCGGTTAATGAGCTGATGAGTGGCTCAGATGACTCAAATCCAAGGATGATTTAAAAATCATTTACGAACTGAGGCAGCAGGCCTTCCACCCAACAGCTTTACCTTCCTAAATTTGTATTTGATCCAATTAGATCTCTTGACAATCACAAACTCACATCAACTGACAGGCGAGAGAGCAGGAAATATTTAATTTATTTACTAGCTGACCTTTCTGGCTGAGTCATTTGGGCGCTTCATTAACCATAGTCAATTAAATAAATTCCAGCTGCTACTCGCCCTGGAGCTGCCAATATGAGGAATGGCTGGATTGAAATCTAACACCTGCGACTCAAGCATAGCGTGCGAATTTCAATCCAGGGTAATATGTGGAACTGCTTTGTCTTTTCACTGCCTTTTGCTGAGGGTGAGATGGTGCACCATAGGATCCTGGTAATCTCTTTTAGCTAGTCAGAGGGTGACGAAGAAAGTGATTCTCAAACTTAAATGTGCATCTGGGGTGGAAACTTTAATGTGCAAACTGATACTGCTCATCTAATGACAGCTTTAAAAGAGACTCCAAAGAGAAATCGGTGAATGCCACTGTTATACATCTTTTGAAAGTACATCTTAATTTTACCCTACATACTGGATGAAACTATTACACTATGAGTCATGTTTAAGGAGAAGTGATCAGAAACATAGTTTAATGCATACAGACTAGAGGGGGCTTCATGTCCCACCTGTTAGTTAATAAAGAGTAGGATACTGTCAGCTGCTTAATATCACACAGGAAAATTTATTCACTATTTGTTTTCCTTTCTGGACATTCAAACCTGTTCTTGGGCGTTCATTCTTTCAAGTGAGTTTCAGAATCAATTGGTCAATTAAAAATAATGTATAGGGCTGGCCAGACAGCTCAGCCGACTAACGTGCGTGCTTAGGCAGGTACGGCAACCAGGGTTCAATCCCTGGTGTGCCGAGCTGGCCCCAGCCCTGGGGCTCACTGAGACAGTGTTTGAGACTGGGCGTGTGGTGCCCACCTGTAATCCCTGTGCTTTGGAGGCTGAGAACAGGAGGATCACTACAAGTCTGATCTGTGTAGTGAGACCCTGCATTAAATACATTAAAAAATAAATTAAAAATAATATATAAAATAACGGTGTATTCAGGTATAATAAACTTGATTAGGGTTATATTAAGTGTACTAAACCTTGAAAGAACGAATACCTCTTATAACTTAGTCTTTCCAACCTTGAAAATAGTACTTCTTCTTTTGGTCATAATCTTCTTTTCAGCTCTCAAAGGTTACTAATACTGTATATTTCCTGTGAGGCATGGTACTTAAAGGGATGTCACTTTAGGAACACTACACATTTCTCTGTATCATCTGTTACAGAACATGCCAGCCAGCAAAAAGAACAAATAAGTCTCTAGGCAAAGGCCATGGCATACACGGTGGCTGACAGTCTGGACACCAGTGCTGCAAATAGCCCGTGCCTTCAATTAAGACTCAGGACATATGAGAACTTGTACTGTAACGTCACGTACCTCGGTAGTGTCCCAAATTTTCTGATCAAGATTATGGGGCCAAAGAGGAAAGTGATCGATGACATAGAGTGGGCCTAAGGAGAGTCACATGGGGAGAAGACACTCTCTCAGGCTTTCACAGAGAGCACATTGGCCAAGCATTGGCCGTGACTCATCCACATGGCTGCACTGATAAAGGTTCTACAATCTGAGGTACAGGATCTCAGGACAAATCCTGAGGGCATTTCACTGACCTTCTCAGACCAAAAAGCTACAACTCTTGTTGCATAGGTCCTGCTTTACCTTGGTCTTAACCATCCAGCTAAAAAGTATGAAGACGAAATTATAAGAAATAAAGCCATGCTGTTAAGTTGAGCTGTGGGGGACTCAGGTCAATAATTTCTGACATTGCCAGTTAAACAGAAGACCCAATGCTATTATGGGCTACTGGACTCTTTTAGAATATTTTGCTGAGTTTACACACCTATAATATTCAATAATGGAACTTAGAAAAAATGGGGTATACAGATGAATGTCCATTTTGTATCTGTGTATTCAAAGTGGTTGGGATAGATATATAGTTACATTCTGTTAATGAATAGAATGATTTGTTCTAATGGTGTTTGTAAATAGGATCACAAGTCCGCATCTTGTACAGCAATTAACCACTAAGAAGAATATATGCAGTGTATTATTTGTTGAAAAATAAAAAATAAAAAATAAAAAAAAAAAAATGATAAAAAAAAAAAAAAAAAAAATAGCCCGTGCCTGCATAACCCTCAGAAAGCCTCCCGGGTTATCCCAGCCTTCAGTACACTTAGTGAGTATCATCTCTTTGCTAAACACTAACTCATCCTCCAAATATACACTACGCAACAACTACACACTAGATACATCTATTTACTGATGATATAAAATTCACATCAAAGCCAGGTGCAACAGTGCACACCTGCAAGCCCAGCACTGGGGAGGCTGACCCAGGAGGATCACTGCGAGTTGGAGGCCAGCCTGGGCTACATGGTAAACTCAAGGCTACACAGTAAGACCCTGTCTCAAAAGAAATCACATTAACTACATGCTAGGCATATCAGTACACTGGTGACATAAACTTAGCCTATGCTTCAATTTCTAAGAAACAAAAGAAAATATTCAGTAAAAACGACTATCAGATAAAACTGAACAGATGGTGCAGCACAGTGACTCAGCTCTGAGAAAGATACTGGAGCTAGTAATGCATCCATGCAAATCATACTGCGGGGATCGTAAGTCGCACTGTGTGTCCTTGACTAGGGCCTGGTCCTAAGTCCATGAATAAGTTAAGCTAATTAGCTTTACTTAAGAATCTCTTGATTTACTAGTAGTTATTTAGCTATCTCAACAAGGGCCTGCATATTCTAACCTGTGGCTTATCACTGGGCTTCACTGTAAAACCAACAGTTACTAGTTTTAAAAATTGCAATTCAATTTAATTAAATTATAAACTTCTGGAAAACTTGTTAATCTGAACACTTTGATATTTTTTAACTTTTCTGTAACATTATTTCCTTCTCCTATTTGACCTCTCCATATAATGAAGCCAAAAACTATTTTATCTAGAAATTGCTAAGCACAAGTGATACAAACATGTGGCTCCGAGATGCGGAGGTGGGATCGGACTCCACACTCATAACCACTGCACACAGGAGGACGAACAGCATTCCTGGCAGAGGGAACAGCAACACTGTACCAAAACCATCAAGGTGTCTCGTTAGTCACGATATGAGCTATGAGCGTTGGTCCAAAACCAATCCCCACAGTGAGGGAGCAAAGATGGTTTGAACACAGGAAGCGACACAACTGAATACAGCAGCACTGAGAAACCGCACTGCAGAGTAAGACACACTCCCAAGCCTCTACTGAATGGGAGCTGTGCACGTGCAGTGCTTAACCCCTGTGTGCTTCAGTCTGCCTTCCTGTAAATGGACACAGCTCTACCTCAGGAAGCCGTATTCAGGATAACTGTTATTTCTACAATGAGAATGCTGCAAGCACAAAGTGTCACAAAATTGTTGATTAAAATAAGCAACCCCATATACACACCGGAAGCGGGCGAGTATGGCCACTGAGAAACACAGGTGAGAGATGAAGAAGCCCTAAATAAATCATAGCAGTAGAGCTGAAAAGGCTATCCAAAGCAAGAGATTTCTCTGTTGGAGGCAACAGCCTTTGACGGCTACTTTGGATTTTGATAAAGGAAAAGCAGTGGTATATGGTGGGGTAGTACAGTGCAGTCAGAGAGACACCAAGACTATTCTTACTTTTCACACAACTACCAGGCCAGGGGGTGACAAGACCGTGAAATCTGATTACTCACTAGAAGGATACATAGAACTCATGGAAAGGTGTTAAAACCATTACAGTATAGTTTAGTTCAACAAAAGCACACAGATTAAAATCAGCCTTAGAAAAAAAGACCTGCTGAGTCCGCAAACATTCAAAGCATAGAGCTGCTCGCTGTCCTCTCCATTGTTAGCAGGGAGTAGTTTTTCTGGGCAGCAGTGTGCGACAGTCTGCACAGGAGTGCTGCCAAGTGGAGATGCTCACCACAGCCGTGGTGTCCAGCTCTTACTGAAGACCAGTCGCATGGGTAGGTGTGACTGCCCACACGGCGCAGTACTGGTGTCCAGCCCCTCTGGAAGTTGAGCTGGTATCTGCCGTTGCTAGGCCCCATCAGTGTAAATCACACTGTTAGACTATCAGGCGTGGCCCAAGACTCCAGGTGGAAAAAAGACGCTCTGGTCTAGTGCATTGCAAGGACTCAGCCAGACCCTACCAGGAGACGAGGGCAAATGTCAGACTTACTGTTGGGTAAGACTCAGTCTTTACTACAAAGGTAGTGAACGTATGAAGGAAAAAAGTACAACCAGGTTGGCAGTTCTCTTCAGCTGGGAGAAAATATGCAAGTAGAAAAGACAACTTAAATTTGGAAGAAAGAAATATTAATAAGCTTTTGAGCTTGCTGAATATGAAAATTCAGGACAGCAGCCAGACAACACCTCTAAGTATGGGACCATATGGGGAAACACTGCTGTTGAGATGACAGCATGATGATGAACGTTTAGTCACGCCGGAAGATGAAGAGGATGATGAATAGGTTGGTTCTAGCAGGTTTCTTTTCTTGTCTATAAAGCATTTAGCCCCCCTGTACACAACTCACTCCTTTTAAAGAAAACTGAAATATAAGGCTGTGTAAGATTTATTTTTAAACTGTACAGTCTTTTTTTTGTATAGTTAACACACTACCGAATGTGTCTTTAGATACCCTGTCCTGGTGGTATTTTCAATAGCCCCTAACCTTGCCTGGTACAGTATGCAGGCTGTAAACTGGCATGGAAACTTAAAGCAGGTTCTTGTTGCTGCACAGCACAAAGTAGTTACATATGGGATGGTAGCTTTTCATCTTCAGTTGTCTCTGATGCAGCTTGTCTGAAATAATTGTTGTTTTGTTAACTGAATACCACTCTGCAATTGCAAAAAAAAAAAAAAGTTCCAACTGTTTTGTTGACATTCTGAATGCTTCTAATACAATTTTTTTATTAAAAAAATAAAAAAAATAAATAAAGTCATGCCAGGCATGGACTCACTTGAAGAACACATAGGTCATAAGCACAGCAATGTTTAAATCACATGAACTTTAATTTCTAAGGGAATTTCAGAAAGTGATTCAGCAAAAAGGCCATTACAAAATTGAAAAATGAAAGAAAAATTTCTAACACTTCTCCCATTACTACAGGAAAGTAAAATTACCAAGTAAATTATAGATAAGGGGAGGGATAACCCCATTTCCTCTGAAAACAGACTCCAAGCACAATATTGTCAGGAAAATAAATAGCCATGCAATAAAAGTATGACTCTGCCTACATTTTCTTCTGCTGTTTTCCACGTTCAGACTATTTCCTGAGAAAGCTTTTATTTTGCTTATGGCAAATTATCAAATGTTTATGCAAAACTTAAATTACCATGAAAATCCAACAAAAAGGTAGATGAAGCAGAAAGCACTGCTAATTAAATGGAGTTGGGGTTCACTGCTCATTTCGTTTAGGATCAAATAACAATTTTGTAAGTCTGTCTCAGCATCCTAACTAGAAAAGTAACTCATTATAGGGTATGGATAGCCAGATCAGTATAAAACCTGTAGATGAAATCTTTTAAATCATGCACATCTGCCTAACTCCATCTCAGGTATGAGCAGCAATAAATAACAAGGGTAGGCTGGAAGGCACCGAACCACAGAGCCCAGAATGAACTCAGGCAAGTTATATAAGCCGTATGCAGTATCCTGAGAAATAAATCTCATTGGTCTGCTCTGGACATGCCATGAGTCACTACTGTCTGGCAAATGATACACATATGGACATTTGGGTATTCTATCTAAGTACCTCTGCTACTTAGAATCTCATTATTTTACACTTCACCATTCATGCTGTGATACAAGATACCCATTTTGCAACTGTTCCGGAATAAAAGCCATATACATTTTCATGTTACTCTTTCAGTTACAGGACTAAATAACCTTATTTGTCCTGTATTTCCATCAGAACTGCCTAACACTTCATCTTTATTAGTCACGACACCATCTTTTAACAGTGCTCAGAATGGTCCTTTCTGAAGGAGTTATTAACAGGAAAGATGGAAAGAGACAACCACCTGAGCAATTGCTGCCTGAAACAAGCTGCAGAGCATGGAACTATTTTTCAGGTCTGAAGACGTGCTGGGCTATTGTCCCCAACTTCTCCAGCAGGGCACTAGTGTCTCAGCCTAGAATGTTTTCTCTTGCCCAGGTAATTTCTGAAAGTGGTCAAGACCCAGCTTTTCCTCAGAGCACTTGTGTCCTCTGACAGATACAGCAAGATCTTCTCGCCTATCATAATACTTAGTGAATTGTGTCAGTTTACATAGTCTACTTCAAGTCCTTCTGTCTAAATCCCTATGAACACTTGACCTATATGTAAACTAGTCGCGGGGACTGTTTTGCTCTAAGTAGTCCAAGGGGCGTTGCACATAAAGTGCTACATCAGGCATTCAATGTCAAGAGTCCATATAGTAAAGGTGGTTAACGGCGATAGTCACCAAACATACTCATCAAGTTTCTCTCATTTTTTATACATTCAACTTTTATTTTTATAATGCATTTAAAGAATGTATGTACCTGCCAAGTGTTTGCTCAAAATACAGCTAATCATAAGACATGGCAGAAAAGAAATATGATTTTAGGAACTGCTAAAATAACCCTCAAATTTTGAAATTTTTGTGTGATAGCGTAATTCCGACAAATTGGTGGGCAGGCCTGCCTCAAGGATGATAGTAACTGCTCACTACAAAGGCCTAACTTTTGCTTACCACCTGTACAAAATTTCTCGCCTTTCCCTTATCCAATGACTCATTCATTTCCGCTTACTTCTTCCTTTCCACAGGCCCCCAGGAGTGGGCAGCCACATTCCAGTTCCTGTACCTAGAGCCTCACCTCATTCCTTCCCCCCAGATGTATACATCGTTGTAGCTTAAGTATCAAGAGATCAATTATACTAACCTGACTGTATTCCAGGAATCTCCAAGTTCTTTGGAATACGCTTTGTCAAAATGATCCAACACAACTCTGCAAATCTGTTTTGCAAGCTTCCCTTCCGATTTTGCTTTCAGCTACGACGGTAAGAAATATTTGCTGACACACATGGATATTGCAAATTTATTGAGTTTCAACATGAGCACAGTCTAACTGTTCAAGAACTTAAACAATTATGTCCTTGCAATGAGATCAACATACTAGGTAATAAAGCTATATTAATTGACAAAAAGTTCTTTTCCACTATTGTCCATGAAAGCAAAGATTAAGACAGACTCTAGTGGTTCTAAGGAAAGTGCTACAAAAGGGACTTCTGTAAGTATCCAGTGTAGGGCGGCTATTCCAATGAACTTCGTGGGAGACACAAGTAACTCTAGACTATCTCGGCACATTTCCTGTAAACCTAAGATTATTTCTTTTTCTACTGTTTATTTAGTGAAAAGTGTCACCCTAGTGTCCTCTTGTAATTCCTCACTGTCGGTTCATTTATTCATTCAAGAAAGCGAGGCCGAGGAAGGCGCAGGGGCAGGGTACACAGCAAACCAGGGACAGTGCCTGCGCCTGCAGAACCCCTGCGGTGCGTGAGTGGGGGAGGGAGGGCGCGCGGGAGGGAGGGGAGGGGAGCGGGAAGGAGGGGAGCGGGAAGGAGGGGAGCGGGAGGGAGGGAGGGTAAAAGGAGGGAGGGGAGCGGGAGGGAAGGAGGGAGCATGGGAGGGAGGGCACGCTGGAAGGAGGGAGCAAGCACTGGGAGGGAGGGGAGCGGAGCGGGAGGGAGGGAGGGAGCATGGGAGGGAGGGCACGCTGGAGGGATGGAGGGAGCGAGCGCTGGAGGGAAGGAGGGGAGCGCGAGGGAGGGAGGGAGAATGGGAGGAAGGGCATGCTGGAGGGACGGTGGGAGCGTGGGAAGGAGGGAGGGAAGGGGCGGGAAGGAGGG